TACAAGTAAAATACAACCTTAACTAGCTTGTAAAAGACTAAGCAATCATAGGCACTTCTTCATAGAGCAAACTCAATAACCACATCCCTAAAACTTCCAAACTAGGCATGTGAAGATTGTTTGAAACCATACAAGACTTTCTCAATTTGGAAATCTTGCCAGACGTTTCTTAAGTAATAGAAACCCAATGGTTGCTCTTCATGTCTTCTTGGATATCACTGTGAAAAAATACATTCTTTAACATTAAACTGATGTAGAGATCAATAGTGAGGAGCTACTAGAGAAATAAAAAGATGAATAGAGGCAAAGTTAGCAACTAACAAGAAGGTTTTAGAATAATCAACCTATAAATTTGAGCCTCACTCTTGGCCACCATCTAAGCTTTCAAGTGAATGATGGTGTGGTTTGGATTCATTTTAACTGTTAACATCCATTTGCAACCTATAGCTTAGTTCCTTGCTAGTTAGTAACTACACCAAATCCCAAGGATGATTTTGCTCTAAAGCCAACATCTCAGCTTCCATAGATTTCTCATGAACCAAAATGATACAGAGTCTCAAGCATGGATTTGGGAACTAAAATAAAGACTAAACTTTGACAAATGATTGAGAAGACAAAGATAGAATATGATATGAAACAAAGGAAGTGATGGGATATGTACAAGAAGGTTTACCTCTTTAGAGAGTGATGGGAACATCAAGGCAGGGATTCGATGTTGGTGTATTGAATGCCTAGCCAGGCCAAGCCAAGCAATGTAGTAGGTAGTGGAAGAAAACAAAAATGAAAATGTTGGCAAGGCTGACCTAGGAACCATAAGTCGACTCGCGGGAGAGAATATGATGGGATTAACTCAAAGTTTTTGGATGATGTAGGATTGAAGGCCTTTAGAGGCCTCACAGCGGTTGTCTACAATGGTGCTAGATCAATCTTAGAATTGAGCACCCAAGCCATCCATGCGTCTGGCCTCTGAGGTAGTCCATACACTGGCTACCCATTGAAGTTCCAGCTATGCTAGGCTCATTGAAACTCCCTCACTCAGTGTTTTAGTTGGCTAAAGCTCATAGAAGCTCTCTATGTTAGCCTCTCTTTTTCTCCTCTCATGTTATGTGTATGGTGCCTTCTCCTTCACAAGGATGACCTGAAGATGAAGATAGGAATAATAAAGAATACACAAAGGAGGAGTCTATGAGCTGTCCATTTTGTGTTTTTTTTTCTCACACAAAGCAGGGGAGGGAAACTGTATCAAACACAAAGAAGAAGGGCAGTTTGAAGTGGCCTTGAACTAGCCATTTTAAATTAAAGTCATGATAGTTTGAACCAAATGTCAAACCCCATCCAGCTCTTGGATCTGTTGCTCAATACAAAAACCATAGTTTACTAAAAGACCAACCTGCCAACTGTTTGGTCCTAGTTCACTACATGGTTCAACTCTTATGACCAAGCTTGCTAGTAAATCCCAATCGCTCTCCCCCTTTTCCATTTGGATCCAAATCCGGTCTAACTCTTGAACTAATCATAACCCAAATGCATAGATAAAACCAAATAAGTTTTGAAGGGATTAATTTAAATTAACCACTTAAACCAATTAATCCACTAATTGAAATAGTCATCCAACTCTTGGATAAACTCAACCAAGTGATATAGGCTTCATTGGCATTGTGTATGATTTGTCTATTTCACCAATTAACTAGCAATGGACTTACAACACTTGTGATATTTGACTAACATATTACTCCATTAATTGAATCCCTTCAATCAACTAGTCTTGATTTAATTTATATTAAATCAAGAATACCCATGGTTCGAGGTCAACATCTAGCACCGCACTCGCAAACAAGTAATAGGTGAAGGTAATATGCATGAACCAATTTCGTTTATGGTGACCATGTAGATACAGTCCTATTACTAACTATCTCCCAATTAGTGACTAGGATGTGAATATGACTTCTAAACAAGTTGGTGTAATGATCAATTTAGGAAACTCTTTTCCCAATTACTTGTCATTTGCCTTTCAAGGACTTTCAAAATGACAACCCGTAGACAATACAAGAGATCACTCATCTGCTCAAGATGGCTAATGGATCCTATATTGGTTGTCTAATCTCCATTTATGAACAACTAATGTAAATTTGTTTGTGGCCCTCCACAATGGGTTAGGGTAGTAAAAAGTGCATCAAAGTATTATGCATAAAATTAAGAACAATCTCATTCATGTGTATACAATCTATTCTTTTATGCATAATGGTCATTTTCATCTTATATTTGCCTGTAAATTTGGAGTCTCAAGAACTGTAGGCAATGGAGAATCAAAATCAACCTGCCAATGCAAAGTATACGCATGAAAATCATCAGTAAACTGACAAGTGGGAAAAGGATTCACAGAGGAATAGCAGGGGTAAGCTCAAAGAATATAGTACTAACAAACACTAAGTAATGGCCAAAATCTAGAGAGTAACAATGATAGCTCTTTTGTGACTAGAATAGCCTATAAAGGCACGCCTTGAGAGAATTCTGCTCTAGCAAAGAGATCTAACCTCCTGCAGTAAACACGTGCATCCAAAAACTCAAGGAGAGAAAGGGAAAAGCAATAATTTTGGGGGAAGCAAATTAGAGAATGGCACCTTCCTACTGAGGACTAATGATAGCATGATAAGGTGGCATACAATAGCTATTGCATCAGCCCAAAAAGCTTTAGTCACTTTCAGAGAAGAGCACAGGCAATTTCCATTAATTGCCAATATTTGCTTTCATCCACCCCATTCTGCACGCAAGAAGACTAATGAATAACGCCATTCTGTGAAAGAAAGGAGGACTAGGGTTTTGAAACATATTCCTTGGTGTTATCACTTCTCAATATAAGAACATGAGCAATACGTTGAGTTTTTAATTTAGCAAATAAAGCACAAAAGGTAAAAAATAAATCAACACAACTTGTCACAAAAAATAACCAAGTTACTCAAGCAAAATCATCCACAAAAGTAACAATATTTAAAACCATACCTCTACCAATAAATTTGTTTCATCACAAGATCTCGGAAAATACAGTGAGTGGGAAATAATGAACAGTACAATCCAAACTCTGAGTGTTACTAATAGGTAAGAGATTGAAAGGAAAATGAGACAAGTACAAAATGGAGGGTAACGAGAGTGATGAAACTGGATGAGCTTTTTCACTTCCAAAAACGTGAATAGAGGAGCCATGTGCAAGAATAACACGTGATAAATTAGAAGAGGACTTAAAAGAAGTAAGGATGCCTTGTTCCCAGTTATGTGATTGGTGGCGCCTAAACCAATAACTAGTCTTGAGAGGAAGATGAAATGCAAGTAGTAGGGTTACCTTTCTTATTCAAAATGGCAAGAGACGCATCGATCACATGTGATGGAGAGGTGACTTGGAACTGAGTTTGTCTAGCAAACAAACTCATTATACATAATAATCTTAGGTTCCAAAGCAAGCACAGGTGTAGGAAGGATACCATAATGAGTGGTAGCATGTGCAAATTGTTGCACTATGGTTGACAGGGTTTTCCATGAAGTTTCCAACATACCTACTTCACATGGCCAGCCTCACCACAAAGAAAACATAATGAAAACAAACCCTGGTGCCCCCACCATCACACAGCCTCCTCTTCCTCCTCAAGTACCACTTTGACCCACCAGAGCACTCTTGCCTTTATGTCCAATAACTCGCTGATGTCGTGGTCTCATTAGGGAGACACTCCTTAATACAATTGGTAGTCTCACATGATGCTTGAAGAAGGCTAACGAAGACATCAATGAGGAAGGTAGACACCAAGCTACCAAAATTTGACCCTGGAAAAGCCATGGTCATCATCTATTTACAATGCTTTTGCATCTTCTAAATATGACTAGTAATATCTTCATCTCCTTGTGTATTCTGTTGGGTCAATTCCAAGATCAGGCGACCACCCCTAGGTTGCATATGTACTCATTTAGACCACACCCCTTGGTCGCAACTTTGAAACATCACCTTGAACTCTAGTCACATCTGTAGCACTTAGGCTAGTTCGTAATGAAAGGAAGAAAGAGAGAGAGACAGTGAAGGAGTAAAGGTAGGCTTGGTTGTGATTAGTGATATCTAGGATTTATGCTTTGATATCATGAAATGTGTTGAGGAAGAAAAGATGATAGAGAGGGAGAAAGATTTGGTAAAACCATAGCCACATATTTGTTGTGTGTATACATGTGACTAAGTGTATAGTACATTCTTACATGATATGTCAAATTGACTAAACTGCCCTTACAATAAAAGGTGCAAAAGACATATTACCCAACCACACTAAGGTAGTAGTGAAAGAGGGCTGTGATTGTTTTGAGATCTGGAACTGGGTAGACTTGGCAAATTCCTCATCAGACATCACTATAGTTAGTCCTTCACTATGCAATATGAGCTATTCTTCAATCTGTGAAGCTACATGGCATATTGTTGAGGCTGATACTACAACTGTGATGGTTTTGGGCAATTATTCTTCACATGGCCTGGTTCTTATCCAGAATTTTAGCACATCCTGAATCCTCTACCTCTACCTTTATTTCAACCCTTATGTAAACGACCTCCATGATTTTTAGTGTTGGTATTTGTCTACACAGCAAGGGCATTATGATCAAATGTATGGATTTAATCCCTTCTCAGGAAACATTCTTAACTCAAGAAAAAGCACGTGTTTGCAGGGAGGATCTGAGGATAAACCACATCTTATTTTGAGTCTGATCCTGACTCATGTTGAGCTGACATCTCTTTTTACTCTTAGCACTCATCAAGGATTGCAATTCTTCATAAAATTGCTTTTACTCAAAGAAATAGTCAACCAAGCTTCTTTTAGACTGCACGATACAGTTCAAATTACAAAGCCACCACCATAAATAAAGGCCAAGAAGTAACAAAGCTCCTTTACTGTGGCACAATGAGTAGTAAGAGAATGGACTCACCTATTTATGGAATTAACAAGTAATTCCAGAATTCTCTTATCTTCTCTAAGATGCCATCTTTCCTCATTCCACCTGGACTTACTGTAAGGGTGCACTTCCCTCCGTATAGTTGGAGCCATCGCCATCAAACTCTATATTTGTGAGTTTAGATGTGGTAGCAATCACCTCAAAGGCTTGTTGTTAATTCAAACACCAAACACTACATCCTAACCCTGCCCTCAATAGTTCAGCAATGGGCTCAAAACATCAAACCAGACAGAGACCAAGGCACAAACATGACCTCTTCAAACCTTCCATTTCTATATTGGAAAACACTAGCCTTCTTCTCTTAAAATTTTGATGACAACAACAACCACCCTTGTCAGGCCCCTACAGCCTTGTGGAAACCCTAGGTCACAGATGCTCCTCGTCAAAACCCTAGGATCAAAGACAAACACCTTTGTCTCGTCCGAACCCTAAGTAGTGGCCAGCCCTCGTCTGAATCTAGGTCACTGTTGGTGACACTCTAGTCAACCTCACCAAACCCTGAACTACCATTGCTGTCACCAGATACAAAGTCAAAAGCCACTTAAGTCTGAACCTTGACCAGTGTCACAAGTGCTATGTGAACTTTCTTCTTTTACTTTGCCACATGAAGTATCATCAATCTGTAATGTCTACGGTTATAGAAAGTTTGATTGACACCAATCAGAGCTTCTGATTGGTTGCAGTATTTTTTTTCCCCCTTATGTTAGGGTTTGAATGTTGGTTCTGATATCATGTTGATACTCAAAAAAAAAAAAAGATGAGAAGAGGAGAATGCCTAAAAGAATATTCTAAGAAGCACTAGCACATCAGTGATGCTTGTGTATCTATATTTATATGCATACTAAGTGAATTACACGTAGGCCCAGAGCCCAAAATAGTACACAGGCCCAATACTCTTGGCACATGGATTACATTGACAAATCATGTAATTTAAAGTGACTAGATAATGTGAGTGTACTAATTCTTGTGTATGTGGATCAACTATGGATTACAGTATGTTATTGCTTGCTTCATGTTGTGAAATATCCATTTCAAGTGTGAGCTGTAGAGAATAAACTACAGGAAAAACTTTTCCTTTTCTTATTGCAGAGTTCTTGGACAAAACAGGCACTGGAAGTTGACAGCCCCCCACCCATGTCACCATGGGATCAACTTGCAGATCCACCTGATAGCACTTGCGCCCAGGTCATCCATTCAAGGCCTGAAGCATTTAGCAACAACTGGGTGCCCATAGCTGCCACAAGGGAGTTCCACGGTCATAATGATAATCAAGGTATGCATGGCTCTATTTAAAGCAATCACACTTGGCTTTTTGGACTTGTGTATTCAGCTTTTAAAACAAAAATGTTGAAAAAACCAAGATCCACAATGTCTAACCAAAAGCTGGGATATCCTCTCTCCAAATGTTTTAGAGTTTTTGAACTTAAAAATCGAACACAGAAGTGTAAGATCCTGAACATCTTTATTTTTCTTTGGTGAACTTGCTGCGTCTCAATCAGGTAATTTTGCAATGGGCAATGACCCGGGCATAAGGGTCCCTGCAAATCCAGATTTACAACTAGAAGGCCAAGCTGTACCAGCAATTAACAAGGCAAAATTATCTGATTTAAAATTAAAAGGTGACGGTGAAAAATTAGAGAAAGAAAAATTGGAGATGAACAGTGAGACACCAGTTGAGAAATTGACGAAAGAAGCTGCTGATCTTGGTGGTGCTTTGACCAGCAGTACTAATCCTCAGATAGAAAATCTAGTTACTGAAGTTCAAAATGACATCTCCAAGACAAACATTAAAGACAAGACTACCTATGATACAAAGGAAATACCTTCTCTCGAGCTCAGCTTGAAGAGACTGATAGATGTCAGAGAAATTGGAACCAGTGCCCAAGAGCAAAATGTTTTGAGACATTCTGATCTATCGGCCTTCTCTAGGTAAAAAACTGAAACATACAGAACATATCCTTTTAGGATTTGTATTTTGTTTTCTGATATCTATTCTCGGTTTTTCTTTTATATGTTTTCAGAAACAGAAAACATTGAAAGGCCTGAAAACTCTTTTTTTTTTTTTTTATTGTTTTCCTTCCAGAGCGAAAATGGTTTCCAAGATTTCCAAATACAATTTTTTATTGTTCCTAAAAACTGGCCTGTTTTCTAAAACATATTCCTGAGGAAAAAAAATTAAATGAGTCTCTGTTCTAACAAAAGAAAACTATTATAAAAAACACATCCGAACTGGTCTGGGTCAAAATCCAGAACTTTAATGATAATTTTCATTCTCCCAACCCTGCAGGTATAACACTACTTCAACTGCTAATCAGACACTGACTGGGAATGTAGGCAGCTGTTCTCCACTTGGTAATAGCTCAGAAGCTGCCAAAACAGAATCACTGCAGAATCCACAATCTAATACAAAAAGCAGCCCTGATCAACCACCTAATGGCAGTAGCAACAACAATGATATGGGTTCCACAACTAATGATGCTTTCATCAAACCAGGAGATTTCAGTGATAAGCCAATGCCCAAATCTACAGTCAATGTCCATCCCTGCTCTGCATTTCAACCAGTCCAAAGCAGCCAAGTATCTTCCTTCAGTCTGTGATACCAGGTAAGGGCGATGCAGCAATGTCTAATAAAATATTGGCACAATCAAGGGGAATGCAAACACAGGTCCAAGTTCAGCATCACCATCATCATTACCACCACTATCACCATCACGTCCACAACATGCAGCAGCAGCAGCAGCAACAGCAGCAGCAGCAGCTGCAGCTGCCTAATCATGATGATTTGTCTTTGAGGACTATAGCAGCCGCTCCGCATGGCAGGCCATCCAACTTGCCGAGTATGCCAATTGAAGGCATTGCTACGAATTACAGTATGAATGGGAGTGCTTCCGGAAGTAATAATGGAAGCAATGGGCAACATGGTAGTAGCACTGCTATAATTATTGAAGGAACAAATATGGCAAGTGATAATGGAGCAACCGGAAAATGTGGAGCTGCTGGCGGTGGTAATGATGGTAGTGGGAGTGCGAAAGGTAGCAGCAATGGGGTAGATCAGAACCGTTGCAAGCAGAGAGAGGCTGCTTTGAACAAATTCCGCCAGAAGAGGAAAGAAAGATGCTTTGAAAAAAAGGTAACTAGTTTGTTGTATCTCATCATAGTTTTTGAAGAATATTAACTGAAAATTTTCCAGCATGGGACTTTGTTACGTTTATGTTGGTTTAATAAAACTCCATATATTGTATTTGCACTGTTCTTGCATGAACGCGCAGATTAAAAAACATCTATCTTTTCTATTTTTGGTCCTTTCGACTTGGAAAGGGGGAGGTGGGTTTCAAACTCGTGCGTGAGCTGGAGTGTTGCTCAGCCATTGCTGCAGAGATGTCCTGATTAGTTGTTGAAAGACATCAACCTAAGAATGCCATCATTTCCTTAATATGGAGTGCATGGAGGCATATATACGTATAAATGGTCCAGTCTTGTTTTCCCCTTTTCTCCTTTTTTATTTTTTATTTGTTTTTTCTTTTTTTTTTTTTTGGGGGGGGGGGGGGGGTGTTGTAGGGGCAGCTTAGGGTGTATACTCTGTGTTCCACGCTTCATGCCTTGACTCATTATGATAGAAATCCACTTTCCTTTTTGATTTGCAGGTGCGCTATCAAAGCAGAAAGAGATTAGCAGAACAAAGACCACGTATTCGAGGACAATTTGTTCGACAGGTTGCAAATGAAAACAAAAGCAAAGATAAGGATTGCTAACCCAGCCCTTCACCTCATGTGCTTACATGAAGCTTAGTGCTAATTTGTAGATATGGGGTTAGCATTTAGAATCGGGAGTGAGAAATGGCAAAGAGAGAACCAAAAAAGTAATTGATTGTACTATGGCATTGAAGATCAGATCCATTTTGTGGGTGAGACTTTTGAAAGACACCATGTACTGTATTATATGTTCTAACTTGCAAAGACAGGTAGTCCCATTACTACTGCTTAGGAAGGGGATAACCCCCAACTAAAACCTTCCCGAATAAAGCTATTGATTCAGGTTGCTATGCTTAGACTTGATTTTTTGGGAAAAAAAATATCTCAAATTCGCGTTGCCTTCTGTCTTTCTTTTGTTTCATTTGGATTGAATCTCTCTGTGTGTTTTTGCTCATCTGATTGGTTTTCAGTTCATAACATAATAATTATGGATTATTGGGTTTTAGAGTTTAGATTTTATGGGGCCCTTTATTTCGTGTTGAATAAAGAAGTCCAGGAGTCGAAGGCTCCAATCTTTTTTAAGCTTTAGAGGCACTTGCTTCTATATATATATTTTGAGTCCAAATCTCTAAAATATTATTCTTTTGCTTTTTTGTAGTTTTTGCAATTTGTTGTGTTGGAGTGAATGCGACAGGATTTCGTTTTCTTATTGTTTGATACCCCTGTTGCTAGAAATTATTGTTTTGAGTAAGTAGTGGACTCGTGTTTTGGTCGAATCAGGCAAATAATTTAGTGTTGCAAAAGTGTTATTACAATCGCCTATAATGGTAAGTAATTTGCTAAAGAGGAAAATCAATACTTTCAATGCACCTAAAAAGGATTCTACAAATTGTAATATACAAAAGAAAGAGTGGAATTTATGGTTTACACATTTGAGGATGTGCATCTAGGAGGAGTTTTCAGTACTATGAGTGCTTTCTGGAGTTTTGTTGTTTTTTATGTATTGGGGTTGGTGGTGAGATAGAAGTGTGGTCCATAATGATAAAATGCAGGTTAGAACTAAAGCGATGAAGGTTATCTTACAATTTTCAATTTATGGGAAATTTTCTAAATATGTATTTCCATTGTGGTTATATTAGTGAAGGTGACAAAGCAAGAATGCGCTAGGAGAATTTGGGTTTTAGAGAATTTCATTATGGTCATTTTACGAAGTTTTGGAAATATCTGTTTCTTTGATCATCTCCATTGGTTGTATGTTCGTTGAAGTAGTTTCTTGATAGTTTTAATTAGTTGTAGGTTTCGTTGTTGTTGTTTGATTAAATGTTATTAGTTCGAGTAAGTAAAAAGGTGAAAATGTGAGAATGTCACAGACCTTAATGAACATAATGTAGTAATGTAGAAATATTTAAAAGAAAAAAAAAAGTTGTGGATAGCTTAATAGATTTGGTGGCAAAAGATTCCTGGTTGTTGAATTACCCCAACCATGGTTGAAAAATAATATCTTATTCGAAAGTACCAATAATAGTTTAAGTGCAGCAGAATAGTTCTTGGCTAGTGAATCACTCATAGTACTTTGAGAAATATCGTCGTATTTAAAGTAGGAGATTTGAAAGGACATGCAGAAGCGAGGGTTTTTAGGCACTAAAATTGTTAGTTTAAGTATCGTGCTTTTTGAGCATAAATAATAATAAAATAATATGTGTATACGTAGAGCAACGTGATTCTAATATGATTTTAGCTATGTTGGCAAGCATGATTTTAGTTTAATTATGTGATTGTGAGTGATTGTTGTAATCCTGTGATTGTGAGTGATTGTCGTGATTGCGTGTGATTATCGTAATTATGAATGATTGTGTAATGATTATAACTTCCAAAATTAGATTGATTGTAGTTTTCTAACTAAACTAATTGTAATTTCTTAATTAGGTTACAAAGTTTGTATATAAATACAGTGTATTCTTTTCCTGTAATTATAAAAAGAAAGATAATAAATTTTTTTTAAAAAAATCTTTATGGTATCAAAGCTAGTGCTCTTTTATAGAGATGATATTTCTCTCTCCCAAAAATAGGTTTTTTTTTTTTTTTTTTTTTTTTGGGATTCATAATGTTTTTGGGTAAAGAGGTAGAGTTACATTGCCTTTCTCTTGTCATGCCTCTCCACGAAGACAGACCAAGGCCAAATTGGCCTAATTGTTGGTAGAAGCCATAGTGTGTGTGTACACACGCCAACAGAAGGTCCTAAAAGCACTATTTATGTGCTAGAAAAAACCCGTAGCTGAAACTATGTCCAAGGACAACTCTTCTTTATAAATCAGTCTTGTAAAACTTAATGGATCTAATTACCTTACTTGGTCAAGATCATGCCTTTTGTTCATCAAGGCTAAAAGACTATAAGGATATATTACTGGTGATAAACTGAAATTGAAGACCACTGATCCTACCTACAATCAATAGAAATCTGAAAATTCCCTTGTGATGTAATGGCTTATCAATTCCATGCAACCTCGAATTGCTCATGAATACTTACTATTGAATAGTATGTTAAAATTTGGAATGTAACTTCTTAAACATATTCTAAGGTGGGCAATGATGCACATATCTATGAATTGCAAAACAAGGTGCATGGAACAATATAAGTTGTGATGACTATTGCTTAATACTTTGCTGAATTAAGTGGATTGTGGTAGGGCATCAAGATTTTCAAGCATCCTGTACTGAAGACAATCAAGTTTTAACATCTTGTCGAGAAAGAATGAATATATGATTTTCTTGTGGGCCTGAATATTAAATATGATCAACTAAGGGTTCAAGTTCTTGGTAAAGACCTTTGCCTTTTTTAAGGCAAACATATTCTTGGGTCCAACAAGAAGAAAGTAGAAGAAGTGCCATAATCTATACCACACATGTAGAAAAGGTAGGGTTTTGCTACAAACACTAAGGAGACTTGGTAGAAGTTGCATGATAGACCAGCTAGAGGTTGTGGAGGAAAAAAGATAAACCCAACAAGGGCTCAAGTAAATCTATTTGAGGCAGAATCTTCTAGGGAGATAACTACCACTGGTGCTTTCTCTTATGAAGAGATACAAAATCTCAAGTGCCTTCTATCTCAAATTGACGCCATTGCCCCCTCATCTAATTTCGTGAAATCAGGTATTAGCTTTTTTGGCTAATCTTGTCCATAGATTATAGATTCTGGAACAAATGAACATACAAGCTCTTCAAAATTTTTCTTACTTCTTCTCCATGTCTTTCTATTATATCTCTTGGGAAGTATATGTGATAATAAAAATAATCAATAAATGGGCTTGTGTCCTTTCTCTTAATTCTTTTGTTTTTTTCATTGTTATTATATTTAGGCCTCAGATGTAAAACTCTAATTAATAATAACCAGATTGATTATCAATTCCACGTATTGTAGGCAATTGAGAAAACTACATCTAGACTCATAAATAACAAAAACAAAGCTACTGACACTCCAAGAGCCTTATTCGTAAAGCAACACTAGAGACTAGTGACAAATTAGAATATTGTTATCTTGTGCAACCAATCTTGATTGGGACTTGTAGCAATTCCATGTAAAAAATGCCTCCTTCCATGGATATTTAGAGGAGGTGTACATGGAGATTCCTTAAGGATTTGATGATGAAAGAACACATGGAAAGTTGTATAGATTAAAGAAGGCCTTGTGCGAATTGAACAATTTCCCAGAGCATGGTTTGAGAGATTCAGCAAAGCTATGATCTCTTTTGGATATATTGATAGAGTAATGCTGATCATACCTTATTTATTAAGTACTATAAAGGTAAGATCACACTACTCATAGTCTATGTTGATGATATTGAGGTGACTGGAGATGGTAATTAAGAGATGACTCGGCTAAAAATACTACTTACTCAAGAGTTTGAGATCAAGTATCTGGGAAAATTACAATTCTTCGAAATTGAAGTTGCTAGATCAAAAAAAGAGAATATTTATCTCTCAAAGGAAATATATTCTAGATCTCTTAAAAGAAACCAATATGTTGGGTTGCAAGCCTATAGAATCTTCTATTGAGAGCAATCATAAGCTGCAAGTATGAACTGGTGTGTCAGTTAACCTTGGGAGATATCAAAGATTGGTAGGGAGACTGATTTATCTCTGCACACTAGACAAACATCGCAAATGCAGTCAGCTTGGTAAGCCGATATATGTATGATCCTCGTGGTTCTCATTTGCCAATTGTTTTTAGTATTTTGTAGTATTTAAAGTCTGCATTAGGAAAAGGACTTCTTTCCTCCAAACATGGCTATTTTCGAATAGAAGCTTTTACAGATATAGATTGGGCTGAATCTTCAAATGATAGGAAAGAAATTTAGTAACTTGGAGAAGCAAGAAGGAGAATGTGGTTGCTCCATCAAGTGCTAAGGCAAAGTATAGAGCTATGGCTTATGGAATTTGTGAATTACTATGGCTACAAATATTATTAAAGGAATTAAAGTTGTTGGGAAAGAATAATCTATCCTTATTTTGTGGGAACAAAGTTGTCATTAGTATAACTCATAACCAAGTTCAACATGATTAGACAAAGCACATATAGATTGATTGACACTTCATAAAGGAGAAAGTGATAGATGATTCTTGAGAATATTTCATATGACATCTAATAAATAATTAACTGATATATTTACTAAAAGCCTTAGCAGCAGGACCTTTTATATATTGGTCTACAAGTTGGGCATGTGTGATATCTATACACTAACTTGAGGGGTAGTGTTGACCTGCATGATTCTAGCATGATTTTGGTTAAGTTGATGACCAAGATTTTAGACACTGTAATTGTGTGATTGTGAGCGATTGCTATAATTATGAGTAAATGTGTAATGATTGTAGGTTCCAAAATTAGGTTGATTGTAGTTTTCTAATTAGGCTGATTGTAGTTTCCTAATTAGGCCACAAAATTTGTATATAAATTAGCGTATTCTTTTCCTGTGAAGGCATAAAAAAAAAGATAACAAAATTTTCTTCTTTGAAAATTTTTCAATATATAATAATTGTATTAGTAGTAGTAATAATAGTTTGAA